AATGGCTCATAAGAAATCCATGGGCTGCTTATCTTAGGGTTTTAAAATAAATTTCCTTACAGATCTTTTAAAATGGATTCCCTTTTGGTTCTAACAATGAAGAAAAAGTATTTTTGTATGTAGGGAGCATTTTAAATAGAAGCTATCGTACAACCAGTAAGTCTGAAAAAGGAATAATCTCATCGTTTGAATGGAAGTGGTTACTCTGAGACAATCTGCAGAGCCTTATGCATTACAACATACGTTGCACAGTGATTCAGTGAAGATACTGTAATCCTCTTTTTTTCTAGAGATGGGAAAAAATTAAATAGAGTGTGACTCAGAAAAAAATCTGTGATTCACAGTGCTATAAATGAAAAAAAAAAGTCCTGACCAGTCAAGCTGTGTTTCATAGGTTAGCAATGTAATTTTTCCTGTGTATTTTTAAACTTCTAAGGGTGTCATTAGCTTCCACATATTGGTAGGTACCTGAGCACAAATTTTGTCCTTCAGGTTCCTTTGATGTGCATCCTTCTTGTTGTTTCAATGAATCGTCGTCTAGTATCATGGTGTTGAGTAAGCTGGACCCGTAGCAACATAGACAGAGACCATAAAGGTGCAGCTGTGGGTCCCCGATACTTCTTGTATTTCAAGAGATGGCGCCATTCCTTTGATGTCAGTGCTGGGACCAGTTCTCTGTCATGCTAGGGAATTTGACATCTTTCCAACGAGGCACAAAACTGATGTACTGTCCCTTAATAGTTGCAGGGTATTGACTGCAAGAGCGACGTTATTATCCCACTGGCTAAATTCCATTCTAGCAACCCAATGTTCTTATTATTCCACATGACTAAGGCAATTCATACTTCTCATTCTAAATCTTGATGACCATAAAATTGCCATGTATTGCTGCACATGACCAATATTTAACCGTCAGCTTAGTTTAATTCCAGTAAGACATGAAGTCATCGCTTTATTTGTTACGCAGCTACTCAGTCCCTTGGGGAGTTTCTGCATGGGAAACGTGGTGTGAGACCTGATGTTGTCTGCGTATCAAGGTGCTAATAGGGGATTTAAATTATGTGGAAATTCTTCCCTCTGCAGATGATTTATACAGCCAACTTGGAAGAGAGTCAGCAAATAAGTAAACTTATGACACTTGCTGTCCTTTGGGTACTCTGGGTAGAACTAAGATGTGCGAAGAGGCATTGAAGTCTGTGCTTGTACTTTTAAATAAAGTGGGGCCAAGGACTGTTTTCTGGCCCTGTGGCCAGGTGGCAAAGACTGTGAGGTCCACACTACATTTAGCACCTGTCCTGGCTATCCCATGGTGGAGCCTCAGACATTTTTACTATCATTGATTTTCTTTTTTTTTTTTTTTTAATTCAAAATGCTTGAAACAAATGTCTCAGCATTGTGCTGCAACATGTTAGAGCGGTGCCTTCGCAGCCGCAGAGACTGGGACATGTGCCTTGGGGTACCTGGATGCACCTGAGGGCAGTGCCTGGTGATGCGGTGTCCACTATCTGCGCGTGGCAAAGGGAGCCATATGCTTTTTCTGTGTTATTTTCCAGTGCTGTTCTACAAATCATACCCAGGAGCTGTCTGGGAAGGTGTTTATCAGTAAGTAGAAGAAAATGCCAGAGAATGCTAATGGTTAAGCAGGATGGACAACTGGTTGCCCAATGTCCAGGACTGTGCCATGATCCTGTTTCAATGGAGTTCCTTAGGGTGCGGGCTTGCAGCACCCTCAGCCACTCATACGCCTGGCGCTGTCAGGCCACTCAAAAGTGGGCAAGTTGGGTCAGAGCAGGTGCACAGTGAGAAGAAAGGACAGAAATTGTAGCAGTACGGTAAGGAGATCCACCAGGTAGCCTCTCTCAGGGCTTTTGTCTGCATTAGATGTCTGAGGCGCTCCAAGAAATTAGAGATGTAGTGACAGAGCAAACCTGGCAATTTCTGTGTCTTATGAAAAGATCACAAACCCTAGAGAAGTTACCACATTTTAGTCTTTCTTCCCAATGTCTTATGCTGGCAGAATCCCAGGGGGCATAAAATATTTTCCTGAAAGACTCGTTTGGTCCCATCACTTTCCTGCAACACCAATGCAAGTATGTAACTAGTGGTTAAGCTGTAAAGCTTCTTGGGGATTTAAATTCTAATCAGGAAATACGGAAAAAAAAAAGAAAAGATCGAAAACATGCGATATGTTCCATTACAAGCTAATGGCAAGTAGCATACATGGGAAAGCAAAACGCTTCATTTAATGACGTAATAAGAGGCACGACCTGAAACAATTCAGAGCCAATGTAAGATAGCCCAACCATTGACTATAACACGTTTTGTACCATTCTCTAAGTATCATGTTGAAGACCTGCCTTTATAAAGGATTGGAAAAGCAAAGTAAAGTGTGATTCATGCTACATGGAAAATAATTTTAAGCCCATTTACAATGCGCGATGAAAACAAGTCCTTGAAGAATTAGAGAATTTCCATATCAATAAGAAACTCTGATATTAACATAGGCACCTTTAGGTTTCTATAAGACACTTTGTGCTAGTATTTGGGGGTTGGACTAGATGATCTTTAAGGTCCCTTCCAACCCAACCCATTCTATGATTCTGTGATTTCAATTACATGAAATTCATTAGAACTTTTTCGAAAAAGGAAGTCCGTCAGAGGACAAAAGGCAGCTGATGATGTCAGGGAAAGCAGCATGGACTAGTACACAGTGCTGCAGTGCTGTTTAGCTGCTTGTCTCATTTCACAGTTAAGGAAAGCTGCAGGCACGGCCGTTCCCGGCTCTCCCAGCAGCACACCGTGCATGCTCGGGAAAGCTGGTGCTGCCGCTGGCGTCCAGGCAGAGGACATTCCAAGAGGGGAAGTGGCCTGGAGGAATGCGGCTGCCCAACCTGGAGCACCTACCACGTGGCCTCCAGGAAAAGAGGCTACTGGGAATGGACCACTGGCTAGATTAAATGTCTTTGCAGGCCACAGGTGGAGGACTACTCATGTGGGGGAAATGACTGCTTATCCTCAGAGGATTCTCTCTTGATGGATGCCCACACGTGAGACATTTTTCTTACCTGTTCTTTCACTGCTCTACCTGATAGGGCTGCATAGACTTGACGTTCCTCGTTGGAGGGGTTGTGCTTGTTTCATCAGTAAGCACCTAGAGATCATCCTCATCCAGCCCCTCAGGGGTCAGCGCTTGGTACAGTTTTGAAGAGCTGTAGTACTCGTTTTAACTGCTAAAAGTGAAATTGTTAGGCCACACAGTTTTCAAAACCTGGGGCTTGGTGTTCCTGGAGATGAAGCTAAGGAAAGCTCAGTTTCATGGAAACATGTGAAACAGCTGTTTTTTACTGTTGTGTACTGCATTAATGGACAAAAAAGGTGAAGACTTTAATGTTATGTAGCTTCTTACTCAGGAATAATGTGTCCATCATCTGTTTCTGTATTTTGGGAATCAGGCTGCAAAACATTCTCTTCCGGGGTAGATTATTTGTATCCACCTGAAAGGTATCTGGCATATCGTCCATGCTTACATTAGCAAGGCTGACAGAGCTACTGTTTTGCCAGAATATAAATGAGAAATGCAAGAGAAGGGAGAATTATAGATTGGAAAAATGCATGTGGTGCTTAATGTAAATGAGAACAACAAGGAGCATGCCATCATTATGAGATGCACTGCAGAGAACAAAATAAGGAAGGAAGTGGCTAGTGGATAACAGATACAATAGATCTGAGCATTTCTGAGTTTCAAGACAGTACTGAAACTAAGAGATGCTTAGTCTATCATTTACATCTCTCCTAAAAAGATTACAAAAAGTGACAAACATGAAATAAGGGCTTATTCTCTACATAATGTGATGATCCAGTCTTTTTCTAAAGAACCTGCATGTTATTTAATCAAAAAAGGTGTCAAAGGCTGTAAACTGGGCTAAAGGTTTCAACAGTTGCCAGAAAAATACTACAGAATACAAGATGAAGCATTATTCTTTTTTTCTTCATCTGAGACCTTCAGTGAGTTCACCTAATATATGTGAATTTAACAGATGAAGAGAGTTCTTTGTAGGTCTGACTACTAGGCTGGTTTAGGAGAGACCAAAGGTACAAGTGTATGGTTCCTGTACTGTTGATGCTCTGCCTGAGTGAAATGTTTCTTGTGATTCAGAGTTTACTTTCAGAATAACGGCACTTTCCCCATAATGTTTTGGTCAAGTTCAGAGGAAGTTTGTGATCCATGAGAAGTAAAATTCAAATATCCAGTGGACTATTCTGTAGTTGGAAATGAGCAAAAGAGGGCCTTAAAATCACATTTTTACACATTTTATTTAGTGCATTTAAATACCTGCATTGTTGCAAAGCTCTGTCTGCATCAGTAGCTGTACAGACACAGAAACAGAACTCTACACATGTCCCTGCATTGCTCTGAGACTAGCAAAACCAAAATTATCACCAAAAATTGTCTTTGCAGCAAGAACTGTGGAGCAGGACACCCTGTGTTAAAACAGGGCAACAAAGCTGTGGCAGTGGAGCTTCTTTCAGCATTGAGGAAAAGGCATTAGAAATCAATCTGAGGGGAATCAAGAGGGCTGAAAGGCTTCTTGAATCCTGCTACTCTATGTTCCAGGCTTTAAACAAAATCTGGTGGTGTAGGAACTGCCAAGGTAGGTCAGACCACTCGCTTGTCTAGGTAATCCACGAGCTGGTCCCCTTTGGGGCTAATGCCGTCTGCTTCAGAAGAGGGTACAGAAGAACCCCACAGCTGTAGTGAAAGGTTTCCATAAGGAGCAGCTTCTTTCTGGACCAGGGATGGAATAGGGAGCCAAGCGCTGCAGGCAGGTGTGAAAGTTAAATTTGAAGATGCAAACTCCTAGAAGAGCATTTAAAAACCTATAAATGAAAGAATGTGAGTAAGAAAAAACCAGACATAGTCTTATTGCTGAAGCTTTTGAGAGTGATTCGGATGAAACAGAAGTCCTGACTACTAGTAATGTTTCAAAACTGCTTTGCAGCTCTTCCATGCGTTGTAGGGGAGTGGAGCCATTGGAGTGGCTGTGCAGAACAATGTCAACCCAATCTGCGGATACGCAGGCGCTATGTACAACAGGAACCTAAAAATGGTGGGGAACCTTGTCCTGCTCTAGAGGAGAAGGCTGGCTGCCTGGAATACCTGACTTACCAGGGAGAGGACTGCGGCCATGAACATGGTATTCTCTCTTCGACTTACCTGTACATTGTGCCCATCAGGGCCTTCATAAATTTTACTGATGTCAGTGAACAGATAAAAAAACCCCACTGCACCTATCTCCAGCTAGCTGGTTAAAAAAACAGCTTAAACCTCTACTTTCTACTGTCTTATTGCTCTATTCTATTCTTATATTTTTTTTCTACTCAAGCTTTTCTTAATTTCTATTAAGTAAACAGCTAAGCTGCATGCGTTCCTTCAGTTTCTCAATTTAAGCCCCTCAGTAAGTATCAAGTTGTCTCTGTGCAAAGTTAGGACACAACTTCAGTATGAAACAGAGCTCCTTGTATGATTCCAGCACATTGTATTTCCTCACAGACTAGACGGCACACGGTTCTAGATACATTTATTCTGCATAAGAAGAGAGCTTAGCTGTGGGGAATGGGGTTAAGGGCTGATGTTGCCAATATTTTATCATTTTTTCAGCATCACCATCCACAAGCTCCTGATTCAGTCACCCACTGTTCCAGTAATTGAAATATGACTCAGCTGTGGCTTGCTGCCTTACCATAACTGTTTTCTTCCTCAGTCCCTGCTTTCATAACTACCTCTGAATACGGTAAAGAAAGAAAACGACGAGCAGCATCTTCTCTCTGGCCTTCAGACAAAGAAGCAGCTGGGTAATCTATTTATCACATGCATGTGGGTCATATTGTTCAATAGAAAATAGCTCGCTACAGAGAAAAATGTAATTAAATTTGCAATAATTAAACAGTAAGCTATAGCTTGTATGTTTTTCTCTTCTGCTGTTCATTTGCATGTTCTAGATGTTGGTTTTTTATTACTTGCTAATTGTCCTGAATTAGACATTGGGGTCATGGCAAATCTGAGGGTAGCTGCTTTTGAAAGCAAACAGTAAATAATGTTAAGCCAAAGCCGAATATATCCGTAAATCTGAGAAATTAGACCTAGGTCTGTGAACAAACAAATGTGCTGAATGTGATTGGTCCCAAGAGATTTTTTTTTTTAAATTAATTGACACAAGCAATTAAAAGTTGTTTTGTTACCGGTAGAGATGGTTATGAAGTTACTGAGGTTTGTTTTTCAACATAATTTAAGAATAGAGAACACAACCTTAAAGTGAGATCATACCTAAAGCACTGGATTGGGGCATAGAATGAGAAATGGTTTGTGTCATGCTTTTGAGACTCCGTTAATTAGGTTAGGGTCAGAAACAGGCTTCTTGGCAGTGATGATGTCTTACTTGCACTTCACAAACACCACCTGTGTGATATGTAAGTACATTTGAAGTGTATACCTAGCTTGTGCTTTATCTATCATGACTAATTTAGTACGTTTCCTTCTGAGCAGATACTGTGTGGAATTTAAAACGGAATCACTTTCACTCCACTGTGCCTTGGAGAATCGACCGTACGCTCGATGGATGCAGTACCTACGCGAAGGACATACTGTGTGTGTAGCTTGCCAGCCTCCAGCCATGAATACTGACACGCATCGTTGTTCTGGAGATGGCCATAATGCAGATGGGTAAAGAAAACCACTTTTCTGCTGTCTCTTCTGTAGCAAAACCCAGTACAGAGGTTTTCTCAACGCCTGATTAAACCCCGCATTTATTATACCTAAAAAATGAAACAGTTCCTATTGCTTGTAGAGCTCAGATTATTTACCCTTTCAGTTCTCCCAGAAATGGCTTTTAAAACCTAGATAAAATGGGGAAATTATTTCAGTATAAGAGCTCAGTGCTTTGAATGCTTTATTTACTATTGTGAAGGGATGATGCAACTTCTGAAGTGCCAGAGGTCTTTGTACAGCTACGGGCACTTTTACTTAAAAACCCTGTTTCCTGCCATAATCCAAATCTGATTTCAGGTTTAACAGTGGTGGAGCAGGACTCCTCCCAAACCTATACACCTGGTTTCCAGAACAGTAATTCTGAAAGTAGACATTTAATATTCAGAACAGATTTTTATTTGATCTATACATTTATTAACATGCCTACTACTGAATACCTGTACAACCAGCTACTCAGTCCACTGTCCTATACACTATATTTAGGAATACAGTGCCTGCTCCAGAAAGCATTTTAAGAGCTAGATGAGCTAATTAAAATCTTACATTATTAAGCAAATCTAATCTTCTGACATGTTATGCAATGTATAAACATGAAATATAGTTTTCAGTGTTTTAACTCCTCATTTGTTGTGACGTTTCAGAGGTAAAATCTTACACTGGGAAGCAGTTGGCAACTCTCAGTGCCAAGGAACCTGGAAGAAGATTCGGCAACTGGAGCACTGTTCGTGTCCCCTTGTGCATAGCTTTATTTTTACATAAAAGTTTAAAAGACCTTTAAAACAGCAACAACAAAAAGATTAAGAAAATTAACTTCAATACCAAGAAACCTACATCTTTCTGCTGCATTTTCTGGAGCCTAAACAAACTTTAAAGGAGTCACAGCTTTGGAAGAAGCATTTTGGGGAAACTCCCTCCACCTTAATACAAAACGCTAAGAGTGATCTTTGCATTAGAACACTAGAAGCATGTTTCCATGTTCTCTTTTGTAATTAAAAAGCAAATGTTTCTAATGGTAGTAGCTGCTTTTCCTGAAGTTCTCGTTCTTTACTGTCCACAGCCTTGTCTACAGGCACTGCTCCTCAGCCAGCCAAACGTTCTCAAGTCTGAGAATAGTTACTGTCATCATTAATAGCAAGAGTGAATAAAAATGAAAGCTTGAGAGCTAAAACTGGATTTCAGTTTAGATCCTTTGCTCCTTCTCAGTACCATCTAGACAGTTGGTTATACTACAAGGGGGTAAGTGTTCCTCCTCTACGTTGTTGTCACATCCAGCCACCTACGACTAATCAGCATTGTTAAGGAGAAGCCTTGCTCAGAAGGCCATGTCACTAATACAGCGTGAGCTTTATGGCAGACAAACCTAATACTAAAGCCGTGGCTAACATTAAAAAAAAAAATTACTCATGACTAGGTAAAACTGCTCATATACGATTAATGCAGAAACTTCCAACATTAGAGCACTGGCAAGACTGCTATGCAGGTAGCTCAAATCCTTGCTCTGTTATCCATTACCTACCCTGAGGTATGGTCACAGCATTAGAGGCCACACACTGCACTTTCTCACCTGCCGGATACCTGCTATGACCTTCTGAACTGTTGGCTTACAGCTGCTCTAGCGTTCCTTGCTGAAGGCCAAAGCCTGTATTTTATCAAGATCCTGAAATCCCCAATGTTTGCTAACAAGAAATTATGCCTTAAGGCTGAGGAAATGTACTGTTAAGACATGCAGCATCTCTGTGGAACCTGCAGACTACTGCTTACCACTGTTTCTAGCAGCTGCAAGAAACGGAGGCATCTGGTGGCAACAATGAGAAAGGTGATCTGGCTGACATCCTGTCCTCAATAAAGAGGGTGAAACAAACCTTTAAAACTGTACTGCACCATTTTATCTTAATGGAAGCAGGCCTCCAAAACAGAAAGCAGATTATCATAATACTTCCTGAACATTTCAGCCATCCACCTCTTCCTTTGCAGCCAGGAAAAATATCTCAGAGGTTTATTTTATTATGACCAGTTTGGAGAGGTGGTTTTCCTTGTAAGGTTCTTGTAAAATAAAAACCTCATCCAAGGACAAAGGTACAGAAAACATCTAAATTGAAGAGATGTCACTTTTAAAATAATACTTAGTGATAAGTCAGTTCAAGTCATTAGATTCACACCAGTATGACAGCGGAAAGTATGAGTTTTCTGAGGTTGTGTAACTTTTCCACACAATCTGAATCAAGACAAGACAGCGTAGTACCATGATCCATCCGTTACAGTCTCTCAGGAGCAGGACACTGACAACGACCAGCTGACACCTTGATTATCCCATCAGAACTTATCTTTGCTTGCCATCGCTGCAGACAGAGACGGTGGGGAGCACAGATGAAAACACATCTCCTGAGCTGTGCTATCAGGATCGGTATGGACTCGTTACCGAGCCCCACTTCGGCCATTTGTTTTTGAGCTTTCCCTTTTCTGCTGGTCTAGAAGAAGCCACTTCTCAAGGTAGGTGGCACAAGATAATCAAGAGTTGTTAAGAGCTAGTATCACGCTGTTACCTTCCATATGTTTTCCATCTCTTCTGCGAGATAAATGGCATTATGCCAATATACATAAATAAAAAATAATCTTCCACCTAGAACTTGAGTTTAATTCTTTAAAAAATAAACCAAACAGCAGCACCAATACTACTTTTAAGTATAAAATTACATGGAATATCACATTTATAACTGCAAAAAAAGGAATAGGTTTGTAAAATTAGCAATACCAATACATATACACTTTCTGGTAAAACTTAATATGGTAGAAATATAATAATAAAAAGCTCAACCTGACTAGAGATATAACCCTTTAGAAACACAGAACACTTGATACAGAACACAGAATACTAACACTCTGTATTAGCCTCTATCAAGCTAAACACGTTGCCGGTCATGTAATAACCCTATGTACATAACTGACTTTTCTTAAATTACTGCAAGCACTTTCACATTTCAGAAATTAGGTCATCTACTGCGCACAGATAAAAGGCCAGGCTTTACTCTTCAGTCGTCACTACCCGAGCACGTGCGCTTACGTGAAAAGGTTTTACACCTGCTACTATTCTGTTTCACGTTTTAGGACAGCAATGCTGATGGACACTCCAAGAATAAAATAAATTATCCTGAAAAGCTAGACTAAGTCTTTATGTAGGGGAAGGTCATGGAGAGAGCTGGTTCCTGTAGTCCAAATTAGACTTGTTCGATCCTGCACAGTGTTCTCCACCGGTCTTTTAACATGACACTAGTTCGGTTGTTGAAGTTGCCACGGACCAAAATCTTAGCCCAGTTACCCACTCCAAACTCCCTTACTCCTGATTTCAGTTCCAAGTCTTCTTTGTAAGTCCATCGCTAGGGAAATAACAGAGAAATGTACTGGATATATGAAAGGAGAAAGGTATTAACGTAAGAGCTAAGCTTATAGCAAATATAAAAGCAAGTTTTATACAGCTCTCTGGTTATTAACAGAGTACAGATGTCTGAGGGTCAGTAGGGTCATTTTGATTTCTTTTGAGCACCATAACTTGATACTAAATACAACAACAAAGGTGACCAAGTATTATAACCCAGCAGACATTGCCTGGAAGGAGAACCACATGCCTCAACATTCACATGTTACAGGAGGAAAAGAAAAGAAAAAGGTTTTGCTTAATTCAAAACATGCTTTCCAAAATTGCACATTATTAGCTAACTGATCCAAGACTAACCTTGACTGATCCTAGTATGCATCACACAAGAGAAAGCATTTTACGACACATTAACCTAGGGACTAAGAATCAAGACACCATTTACCACCAACAAAGGAATTTCCGTGTGCTTAGAAAAAACAAATCCCGATATTTAAAATGCTGATAGAAACAAAATTGTACCTATTGCATTTGAAAGGGAAATCAGCCATATCCTCTGGTAACAGCTATGCATTTGGTTGTGGCCATTTGTTGAGCCTGCTACTTAAGTCTCACTGTCATGACCTACAAGCTTTTTAATCGTTCAGGGATGACATTTCTCCTATAGAAGGAGAGAAAGTTACTTGCAGTTACACCTCTGTAAGCAATCCCTTCCAATTACGTTCTCCAGTGTACCAGTTCTTCCTTAGTGGCTCCTTGATACAAATACTCAATACAAACCATTTTAAGACTGTACACAGAGTGAAAGAAAATGGATTTTTTTAAAAATCAAATGCTTGATTTTTAAAAACTTACCTTTACAGCAAAGTGTGAGGGAGAAGCGACTATCAACTTTATTTTATTGCAGCTTTATAGAAATACGCATAGATATAACAAAAGTTTACAGACCCTATATATCCTATTATGCCTATTTTTAACCATTGCATTTTATTATAGGTGTATTACATACAGCCATTTTTTCACTCTGGAATAGCAATTACCAACTTTAATATAAAATTATTTTAAAACAACTTATGCTGCTAGAATCTGATTCTCTGTAAATATCTTCAAATCCTTGCTTAATACACAACTAATTGTACTGATGTACAACCAGCACACCTCCTTGGGCAAACTGAATTGCCCATCTATCCAAACACAGGACATCCAAATGTGAAGACTTAACTTACAGAAAACACGTAAACTTAAAAATGTTAATGAGATTGAGACGTACAGAGAATTGTATTGTGTAGCTGTTCCACTTATCTGTGTTCACTTCTGCTTCTTTCACTGGAGATGTCCTGCTGTGCCTGATGGTCTCATGGACCATAGTAAGTTATGAAAGGAGATGAATGGTCAATTTTCACTGGTCTCATGCTGGCATTTCTGTGAGCACCAGCAGATTCCATATTAAACATCATTAGTTAGCAGACTTTTACAAAATACACATGTGTTTATGTGCATGCCATGAGCAAATGACTGCTGAAAATCCAACCAAGCAGCTCTCTTATTTCTGCATTTAACTCTTGCCTGTGCTTTCCTTATTTTGGAGTTGCTCTGAAATACCAAAAGTCAGCATTTTTGTTTATAAAAGCACTATGAGATTTACATAGGCAAGTGATCAAAACCACTGCAATTACTTACTCATGTTCAGTGTGTGAAAGCAAAATAGTTAATGTCTCATAGGCCTTTGCAGGCCTCAGTAGTTAAGAAGCATTTGCAGCTAATGGTCTTGCTGGTCAGAACGACTTAATTGACAAAGGAGTGAACTATTTGTAAAAGGATGGACTGTCTAGAGCCTCCTTGTCTGATGAATTTCATTCTCTGTTATGCTGCTTATCTGACACAGTTTTGGTGAAAAACAGGTTGCAAAAGGTATAGAAACGCTGTAGCTGCCCCAGCTGGGCAGAGTCCACATCAGCAGAGGCTGTCACTGCTGCTCCCTGTCCTCTCCTATAGCCATAGCAATAAACCACTTCTGCTCTGACCTAATCCAAACTGCATTTTGGGTTATTTCCATGACAGTGTGCCATGAATGGGATTCACACGTCCTGCTTCGCTCAGGGGGACTGTGGGCTGCTCCCTGCCACTGCTTGGAATGGTACAGGACCTTTTGAAATCCCTGCTGGGGCTTCAGCTGAGGGTCATCTGTAGGCTCCTGCAGTGTGCGGGGTCTGCTGAATCCCAGCTTCTAATAAAGGTCAGTCCAGTGCCCCACTGCTGGCTAAAAGAGGGAAAGGCAACTGTAATTTTGGTCTGGTCAGGGTAAGTCTGGTAAAGGTACTTCTGGTAAAATTTATTTAGGAGGTTGGTCAGCAACATCTGGCTTGGCTTCAGCTATTAACATGGTATGAACAAGCTGGGTTCAGGACAGCACTGAAGCCACATGCCTGCACCGCAGTGGGGATTTGCATTAACTCAGCTGCAAGGGCAAAGGGCAGAGGTTTGGCCCTGGATTGCCAGTTATCATCACGTGCCCTTCGCTGTCTCCAGCTCCAGTACGAGCTTCCTCAGGACCTGATATGAACAGTCCCAACCAGCACAGTGGGCTCATAGGACAGATGACCAGGAGGAGCCCTTGTCTGTCTTGTAGCTTTTCCT